AAAGATCATTAGAGAAATCAGCATCTATCAAGACTGCGTCAGGTTTTCTATCTTGACTAGGTTCATTCAACATATTTACAAAATCTTCCTTTATTGCGTTCGAAATTTGTATACTTAACATAGTCTAGCGGCAGTTCCTTGAGAGTTGTATAAGGAAGCGAGATAGGTTTTTCCGACATAGCCAGAGTCCTTAATAAGCTTTATGCTTCTTTTCCAATGAATATGAGGAAATGTGCCACAAAATTAACATCCTCAGCATCTTCCATGGACATAGCTCATAATTGGAACCGTTCAAAATAATCCTCAAGAGCTTCAGAAGTTGAATGAATATCTAACTTTTCTATTGTAGGCTCCATCACGACGCCAGTATAATATTTGAAAAGAATTTGAATTATCGTATCAACTAGGAATCTGTTATGACTTTGTCTGGCTTTTCTATCACGCGACTTATCGACCATTCAGAATACGACTTATATAATTTCGCACTATGTCAAACCAATGACGTTTAACCGGTATGAGCAGTTTAGCGTCCTTATTGGTCCTATGTCCTCCTAGCCCTTCCACTTGAGTCCAGAACACAATACCAGCTTCTGTAATATGAATCGAATCGTTTATTACAGACTCTCTTTATATACTAATCAAACAAACCACATCGTACCATAAAATAGAAAACAATATTTGACAAGTGAAATAAATATTGGCCAATAGGAAATGTCCATTTAAATTCTAAGGACACCATTAGACTTAATATGATAATTATTGGATAATTATACAATAAGAATATTTATAGAATATTAGTCTATTAACAGTCCTCGGAAGTCACCTGTCACTTAATCTTCACTGGGTCATAACAGAACCACAGAATTAACGCAATTGAATCAAGAATTACGACACAAGCACGAACGAATGTAATGTATTTAGAATTCGAGATCTAGCATTCAACAAGTACAAAAGAATCATTAATTAATTCAAACACCACATGCTCTACACCTCTTGTACTGCAACATTGTACTGTTGGAGTGGTGTTTATTCCGTCCACTGTAAATTATTTGTCCCAGTTTTTTTTTATCAAAAGCTTACTGAATTTCCAATAAGCTACCCCCAACACTACAACATCAGATAAATCATCAAATTTTATCTGAGATCTTTATTTATGGTTTTAGGTGTTATAGGAGCTATTTTCCGCCTGAAAAGCCATCAGCTGGTCCTTTTTTGTTAATAGCGATGGGGTATATGTAACAGTCGATGGTGTATTTGGTGTACGTGCCAAGTTCATGCCTCCTCATTTGCTCGTTTGTGTCTGTGTCGAATAAAGCGTGTAATGGTGACCAATGATACGGTTGTTTTCGGTGGTCTTATGATACTCTCTTGTTAGTTTTGTTGGTGTATTTTTCCCGTGCCGCGGTGATATGTATCAGAGCCATGCTTCGGACTGACTTAGAGGGAAGTCGTTATACTGTAGTGACTCACATTTATCACGAGAACCCGACTGGTTTAATAAAAACAATTACTATTGTAACCAACTGTACCAGTGCTTGTTTCAATGTGCTTTTGTTTGACTGTGCTAATGACAGCTATTTTGTGCTTCCATTCTATTTCACACACTTTGATTGTAACTTCGCGCGAATTCGGTTACGTTCTGTAACCAAGCTTCTATCCTGGCGCGATCTCGGTATCCTTTCGATGTCACGAGATCGCCAGGGAATATATCTCGATTTGGTCCATTAACTGTCTTCTGATATTTGGCTTCTCGGGGATTTTATGGATTTATTTGGTTACGTTCAACCTTCGCCTTCTGATTTACTTGGCACGTGTTTCATGGTAGCGGTGTTCATAGTCAATTTCGACTCGACTCCACGCTACAATACTGAGTGGGATGTTTGAGACGCCTCTTTCGCTTAATCCTTTCTCATTTACTAGTATGATTAGGAGCGAAAATCTATCGATTAATTTGTGAACGCTTCAAGTGTCTCTTTATGAATTTATGTCTTCACTATCAATCAATGCATGTAGTCTGGGCATTCAACTACTCCAATCGTTATTCATCCTTTACACATATGCTTCTATTTCCCGACGTAATGTCTTCATTGGCTTTCCTCTTCTGCGTTGAGGTTCACTACTGTAGACGTTGCTGTAACATTGGCCGTCTTCATCTACATCTGTTGCCGTGTGACATAGAAGACCTGAATCATCTGCGAAGTCCAAATCGTCTATTTGCATCTAAACTGTCCATTGTATTACGTGCTTCTTCTAAGATATGTAGGTCTTCATAATCCAGTCAGTCAACCACAAGAAAGAAAGCGCGAGAATAAGCAGCCTTGTCTGACACCGCTCCTCACTTGGAATGCATCTATCAGTTGTCCTCCATGCACGACTTTGCAATACAGCCCATCGTATGAATTCCATATGATGTTGACGATCATCTAAGCTACTCTTCCTCTAGTGTCAAGGATGGTTTCAAAAGGTTCCCCCATCGCCGTCAAGAAATCTGATCTATAGTGGCGAATCCCATTCTATTGATTGCTCAAAAATGATCCATATTGCTGCGATTCGGTCTGTGAATGATCGGTCCTTACAAAATTCGGCCTGTTGATCTCGATGTTGGATGTCTACTGAGTTTTTCATTCAATTGAACAGAACCCTGTTGAAACTTTTACTGGTACTGATAGTAGTGTAATGCCTTTGTAGTTCTCACACTTGTTCAGATCTCCTTTCTCTGGTATCTTAGTCAGGTATCCTTCCTTCTTATCAAATACTAGTAACCTACGAATACCCTCTAATTTAATGAGACTGTAAATCTTCATCGATTGAGATGGGTCACGTGTTACGTATTCCTGAATATCGATTACCACGACGTACAATGCTGACCAATGTTGCAGACGCAGATGACAGATATGTTTAGTGATTTTCGTGATTCTTTGGACAGAATCAATCGGATTCTTTGTGTAAGGTATTTTCTTGATGACTAGTGTACAACGGCTCTCGAGGTGCTCACTGCATGCCCAACCTTCCACTTTTACCTGAGCTTAGGACTGGCAAGAATTCTATAGAGCTACAAGCGGAGTTTGTTGATTAATACTAATAAAAAAAACAAATTATTCCACTCTGTGAAAGTAAATGTCACTACAAGAAACGTATTTCAACTCCCGTTCATTTTATTTATTTAGACATAAAAATTGATACAAGGAAGGCCAATATATATGCACTACACTCCGTCATTCGATTTATGAGAGGGTCGGGATACTTTCCAGGCACCCAAACCGAAGCATACGGTTTTCTCAAGAGACCTCTCGCCGAACTTTTGACTTAGAGGTCTAATCCAAAAGACAGCGTAGCAATGTTAGCAGATGCCGTCCCATGGTATCTGGTGATCAAGAATGGGTTCATACGCCAGTTGTTCCCTCATGATCTTGGAGTCCATGTCCACCTTTGGTTTGGAATCAGGGATTTCTAACTCCCCTAGGTGGGTCCTCCGTACCCACCAACCCGGTTTAAGCATTGGACGTTCGCTTTCCGTCCCCTCAAATTTCGTAAGCAACACCCCACTACGAGAAGGTAGTGAGTAGGACTTCTTTGGCAGTGGCTATATACCCGTAGTCATGTGAGAGCAATTGGAGAGAGATAGCAGGCTCTCTCCACCCTCGGCCGTACTAGGGCATTTGGAGGCCTTAAACTGCTATCACGCCTATTTTCGAATGGATCTGCAAAGCACATCAAGAGAGGATTGTCCCACTTTCATCGCTGAGGTATGAGTGTGGATTTAAGTATTCTTTTAAGAAAGTTCATTAAAATGTTCATCTCAAGAAGACCAACTCGCAGTTAATTCAGTAAAAGGGTATTCAAGCGAATACAGATTGACAAAGAGCCTTCACTATAACAACAAACAGTGTTGAATCAGTGCTTTTTCATATAATAACATTCACCTAAATGAGCTAAGTTTCGTGTGTTCTGTACATTATGTGTAGGCTGATTACACTACTCCAACCAATATAAGCGTCCTTGTTTTGATTTTTGCCTGTTCACCATAGATTTAATCGATACATCTAGTAGAAATATGTGACATGGGAAGAAAAACCATTTACTTGCTATGTTAATCACAAGATATTCAAGGGAATCGTTATCTGCGTCACTTTTATCGAGAAAACCAAGTTTCCATTGATTCGCTAGCTTTGCTATGATGACTTCTCTTTAGTAAAAGCAACCAGCGTACAGCAATATACCCGTATAAGGTAAATTAAGTAGATGATTGTGGACGTAGTTATTCATCCCGACGCCAATTTACTTCCAGTTCTTCGACTTTAGTGTCCGGTAGCCAAAGTTTGAAAACAATTGAGAACTTTCGCTTCATAAGGTGTGAACTCAATGAACTAAGCTGTTCTTAGATGCTTGATAGCATTATGAATCAGTTTACCCGAGATTCGATCGGTTGGCTGATTTTTGTATACACAGACAATTCAGGTTGACTTGAGTCAAAGTTGTGAAATCTATTTGCGATGAGTTTTAACAAATTCCACTGACATTTTCCAGTACCTGATTTACAGATATCTAGATATTAAAGATATACTGACATACATTCAAATAAGCGTGCAGATAAGTGCCTTTCTAAAGATTAAGATTAGATAGAATTCTGAGATTAATGGTTACATATAAAAGTTTTAGACCATTTAAGCACAAATTCAAGACACATATTTGAAAAGTTAGGAAAACTGTGAATTAAACCACATTAGAGAAAACAATAGTGAAGCTAAGAAAATGCTGTACAAGTAGATGAATTATTATTCCCTGAACACGTTAGTTAAAACATATAAAATTAATAGCACATCTTGAAACCTAAATTGAGGTCTACAGATGAGTTGTACAACAAAGTATCAAGATAGGGCCTATAAATGGTAAGAACGACTTTGTAGGAGGTTAGATGTGCATGAAATAAGAATAAAGTAAGCATCAATAGGAACACACTGTGGAAGATTACGTTTGATCAGTAATCGCGTCACAACTTATTATGAACAGAAATGAAAAGCAAAACGTGATGTTTGGTGACGCTTTAAATCGCTAAATTGCATATACTCTCTAGAAAACTGACAGAACAGCTATAATTTGGATAGAATGTATGCTAACGCACAGGGAAACAATTTTTTGTGCTGAACGTCCATGGTGAAATGAAGGAGGAATCCCAACGATTGGCAACTCTAAGAAACATCACCGTTGACTTAAAAGAATGTTGTACCTCATAATACATGATATTATTACAATTCACTAAAACACTACCATTCTATAAAAAGTAGTCCTATAGTACAGAACTAACTAGCAAACTAAAGAAATCCATGATAAGAGATAACTATTGTCAGCCCTTAGGTACCAGGTTTCATTTAACACGAGACTCAGTGATTGGAAGTCAAGTGCTTAACACAATACAAATAAGAAAACTGGTTCGATAGTTGTATAGCATAGGACTACCATTACTTGCAACTGTCTGCCCTCATGGAGGAGCTATTCATCCTTTTCATGTCTGCTTCCAATATCCAGTGAAGTATGTTCTTCGGTCTTCTTCTTTCCCATTTCCCTTCAGGACTACATGTTAGCGATTGCCTCGTGATGCTGTTGGATGATTTCCGTCAATTATGTCCTATCCACCTTCAGCGCCATTTTCAAAATTGATCTTCATCTCAAAGCTGGTTTGTCCTCTCCTACAGTAGACTGTTGCTGATAGTATCCAACTAGCACACACTGAGTGTCTGGCGTAAACAATTGTTTATAAATACCTACATATTTTGATGAAAGTTGTAGTAGTTCTCTGTACAATAGGACTGTCTCGACCTTTGTATTGAAGACTTTGCTTTCATGTTGGCTGATGAACTAATTACTTCTATGAATTTGGTGTTTAACTTGTTCCGCTAATGAGATACAGTAACTTTGACCGATGCACTTATGTGCTTGTTCCTATGTTGTAACTGACTGACAGTTATTTTTAGTTCCATACGTTCTCCGGTTGTAAGAATTCTGCCCATGTTTTGCCAATCAGTGCCTTCTCATCTACATCAGATCCTCCTAGTTCATCAATTATGCTTCTCAGTCGCGTGAAAGCATCCGCCTATTCCAGTGCTTCTCCATCAAGTGTGCATTGGTTGAGTTTTTCATTCAGTTGAACAGAACCCTGTCGAAACTTTTACTGGTACCGATAGTAGTGTAATGCCTTTGTAGTTCTCACACTTGTTCAGATCTCCTTTCTCTGGTATCTTGGTGAGGTATCCTTCTTTCTAGTCTGTTGGCACTTGTTCTTCTTCCAAATCTTTTTGAATAGAATATGAGGCATCTTTGCAGTCACTTCTGTACTTGAATCAGTGCTTCAGCTGGTATGTTGTCTGGTCCTGTTTTCTTCTCAATTTCGATTTGTTTGATGACCATCCTGCTTTATTCGATCGTTGACGGAGTGACATCTATAGGAAGGTCTGTGTGTGTTGCTTCGATGTCCGGTGGATTCAGTGGAGCTGAAGTATTCAAGAGTTCGTGAAAGTGTTCTACCCATCTTTTCTTCTGTTCTCGAATTCCAGTAATTAGCTTCTCTTCTTTTTCCTTGACCGGTCTTTCTGGATTGCAATATTTCTCTTCCAGCTTTATTGTTGCGCCATATATTTGTTTCATACTTCCATCTCTTGCACCTTTTAGCTGTCGTTGCTAGGTCTCCCACATATTTCTGCTTGTCGGCTCTAATGCTCCTGCTCACTTGCTTGTTTGCTTCTGTGTATTCCGCGTGTGCTTTGACTTTCTCTGCTCGTGCTCGGCTGTTGTTAAATGCCGTTTTCTTGTTCTTCCTTTCTTTGATCTTGTCCAGTGTTTCTATAGAGATCCATTCCTTATGATGATGCTTCTTGCAGCCCAGAACCTCCTGACACGCTGAAGTTAATGCTTCTTTGATTTCTTTCCAGTTATCCTTCATAGTAGTTTCTTCCTCCTTCAGTAGATCATGTAAGGCTTGGAACCTATTGTTGAGAGTTATCTTGAATCCGTTTATTTTTTTTCAGTATTTCGAAGGAAGGTTTTATTGGACCTTCGCAATTCCGTTTCTCCAGTTGTACATTGCTTATTTAACTTCAGTTTTACATTGACCTTCTGAATTTTTTATTGATGCAAATATGATCGATCTGGTTCTCTGTATCTGTTTAATGGGACTAACGTTACACAACAAGAAATATTTAGAGGATAACTCACCAAATCTGAATCGTTGGAACTGGACATCAAAGTCAACATACGAGGTAAGGCTTGTAACAAAGTAGAAACAACAGGCATGCTTTTCAATTCTACAGCTATGTTAGATAAAAGATTTGAAAGGGCAGTATCGTTTCGACCGCACTCACTTAAAAGTGCACAGAGTAATAGCTGAAACAATGAAAAGAACGAATACCAAATAACACGAACGTGAAATGATGCAAAGAGAATCAACCAAATACTACTGGTTTGTGATTTGTTATTTCTTAGCATGGTTTATTTACGGCCTATAATTTTATCACTAAAATTTTATTGACATAACACAATGTATCTAACCCTAAATGTTTATAGTTGTGAAGTGAAAATCAAATGTCACGAAATCATTTAATATTCTAGAAATATCACTCTGAGTTGTCTCGTTCACAAGAGAGTCGATGCATGAGATAATTTTTTAGTATTATAATAAAGTGAATATTTTTAGTACTAATTTACGGATTGTTTTTAATTATAATTTTGTTGTTTGATTAGTAAGCAACTGGGTTACTATCTTTATGTACTCTGTTGATGATAAGTTTTCGGTTAACGCATTAACTACTATCATGCCTTCAAAATTTGTTGACATTCTATTACTTACATTTACCCTATTCATAGCCGCTTTTCGCCCGTTTATGTATAATTTTTCATTTTATGACGTGATGCGGCTGGTATGTCCGTATATAAACTACGTTTGTTTGAAGCATATAAAGTAGAAGCTGTTTGCTGACTTTTGGACTTAAGGAAGGTAAAGAGAGAAGTTTGCGAGATGCGGACCAATAGGAAGTTAGTTGTATCAGTTCACGATCAAAATTGCTCGTGAGGTATGTAGCTGATCAAATCGAAGACAATAAGCTGTACAAGAAGTGGTAGGAACGAAACAGACAAAATCGAGAATTAGGAATCTGACTGATGACTTGGCATGTGATATCAGTCCGCGGTCTCGAGACATAACGTTTTATGTTTGTAAATTTGCCATCAACTGATCAGACACTATGTGAAGACCATAAGACTAAGAGTAATGAACATTTCATGGAAAGAGTATTCTAGAAAAAACAAATTTTAGATTTTGATTTTATCACAGAAGTTTGGGAGCAGCCATCATATTGACTGGAAAAGTAATACTAAAATACGATAGGATTAAACAAAACAAAATGACAAACTAATATTGATCAGGAAATTAATTGTTGGCTGTTACAAACAATATATTTGGATTTGATAAAATGGTGTAGAAAAATGGAATCATAAGTAAATAAAGGTAAGAAACAAGCAAAAATATTACCTGACGAAGATGATCTGTATCCTTTTCGTCATTAGATGGATTTGTCTGCACAAAATCATCCGATGTAGGAACAGAATTTTCAGATGAACATTGATTTTCATTAGCTTTAACTTGAGCTTCGAAAAGCATACGTCTCTCAGCTTTGGACAAACATGACGAACTGTTGGATGCTTTTGGACCATTCTGCTCTCGAATGAAAGATGAAACCAGTTTGTCACGTAGACTTGAGAAAGAACAAAAACAGGGAACTAATTATAGTATTGCAGAAAGTGCTCATTATTTCATGAAATCGGGATAGATAGTATAAAATCATGTGTACCTTATTTCGACAGGAAGCTTTTAAAAAAACTATAAAGTATAAAATAAGAAACACTGTATAATGCCTATTGATCGGAAGTGGTACATTTGAAGACGTAAATCTTCCTCAAACAACAACAATCCAGCAAGGACTAGTTAAGATAAAAGAGTGATAGTAGGTTTAATGAAATTTTAATGCTTTACTGACTGATTCGAACGGCAAACAGTTGGTATCCTGTCACTGTTCTGGAAACCCTGGGTATATTTATAAAGAGTAAAAAATCCCTAGAATTATTTAATATGGAAAAACGCATAGGTAATCAATGAATGGAGAGTAGATAATCGTGTTTAAACTTACGTTTTATTTGACTGGAATTTACTGTTACTATTCTGAGTCCAAGATTTATTGGATATTGCTTGTTCATCTGATAAACCAAACAATAAAAATAGCTGACCAATTAAGGAAACAATATTTGGTTGTTATAACTTTATGATCAGTGTTAAAATACGGTGTAGTCGAATTTCAGATTGTTTATTGAATCACACATTTGTTTACGAGTCTACAGCTATCATGAACTCAGCTAACATTTCATTTAAACCTCTTTTCGATATTGTTATTTGAATCGTTTTTACCTACACATTCTTAGAAATCTGATATTCACACAAAGAAAAAGTAAAGCATTACAATAAGCAGTCATGTGTAGTTATGATTGATGTGAATATGCAATGCTGAAGAATCCCAAACTAGGACGAAGCAGTTGTCCAGTGCTTCCTCGTTCTTAATAGTAATCTAAAATCGGACTGTGATGCAAACCATGAAAATGTACGTCTTCATAAAGCCCCTATATCAAAACTTTTTTTCGGTCTAAGCAATCCCTAACTATGGTTTTACATAAAAAGCAACTTAAGTTTTTAATAGTTCTATGAAATGAACGGAAACATTTAGTTCCAAACAGTACCGACCTTTGTATTCCGATCCCCATGAGATAAGAGAAGAACCAATTGGATTTGATATATGAAGCATTTTCTCGGTCTCTTGACGCTCCAATCGCGGTATCCGGTAGTTTTCCTTCTATCATAACACACAGAAACATATAAATGGCATTATAATAAAAACAAGTTCGAAGTAAATGATGATAATGAAATATATAGCCATTAAATCCTATAGATTGTGAAGAACTTACCGGTAATTTAGACCATTTTTCAAGCAGTTTACAAGCCAAAGCCTTGATCTCTTCTATCCATTCCTCATTCGTCTTAGCTTTACATTCTTCAGTATCCATATTTATTTCGTTGTTGTCGGCTGCATATCCGACTTCAATTTCACCATTATTATCATCCACAACAGTTACGGGGGACATATCACAATCCGAAGTTTGAGTGATAGCGTTAAATCCTTCTTCGTAAACTGGGAGTGTCGAAGCATGCAACACACATGATGCATTCTCCTTCAAGGAAGAACTAAATGAATCGGAACTCGAAGGTGATGCAGCAAAATCACTATTCTTATCACCTGTTTGTATGGAAGATGATTCATTGTCCTTGGTACTCTTAGAAACTGAAACATGAAAAGTAAATATTGTAAATCTCAGAATGAAAGTAGATCATCTCACAAGAAATTACATTATGGTGAATTTGTGCACTTAGATTTTTATGAGAAACAACAGCCACAGAATCTAGAAAATTTTTTTCAGTATTAAGAGAAACAGTAGAAAAAACACAAGTGAACAGCTTCCGTAATTAGTAAGACCGAAGCTGCGCATGATACATTATGACATCAAAAGTTCCTAAACCTTTGAAAATGATGTATCGAATTCCCAACATTTATACATAAATGAGCTGCATATGTCAAGTTAGTTAACAAACAAGCAATGAAAACTGAATCCAATATTCAAACCTTCGGTGTAGTGGACAGTCTCTGACCAGGCTTTATTCCAAGTATTTTAAACAAACGTTTTAGTGTATTCAACAATAATAATTCATTAGTGTTAAAAGTTAATAAATATCCGTTTATAGTGTTAGCCGGAAAAGGTTTTAAACGTTTTATCCATCCAGCAATAAATAGATCTTGAAGACATCTAGAAAAATAAAGAACTACGTGACATCTCGTTTGGAATATTACTTATATGGTTATGAAAATCAATGAATAAATCCCACTTCCTGTGAATAGATTAACCATTGAAGCAAAGCTTTAAATGATATCTTGCGCCTTTCCCCTACTGTTTGGGTTCAAATGTGGAAGTAATCTGAGATACATGAGGCGTCAAGGGAGTCAGTAACAAGCGTTTAAGTACGGAAAAATAGAGTTAGCATCCTCATATTGATGAGTAATTAGTCAGTTAAACAAAGGAGAGTATATACATCGATTTACCATAGCAATAAAGAGTTTGTGAGAATAGTGTGTAGTGAAGATTAACATGAGAAATATGATGTCCGATGAAGTACCATAATAAGTGGCCGAAATTTAAGAGAAAATACAATCTGCAATTAATTTGTATCAAGTTTCAAAGTGAAACAAAACATTGGACGAGAAGGAACGGAACAAAGTAATAGCTGGAAGAAGGATGGATCTCAGTGATAAACACCGAGTTTAGATAAAATACGTGAAAAGTAATTCCTATTTACATTACAATCGAAAATCTCTATAACCCTAAGTAGGGGTGTTTTTAAAGCGTCAATATTATAGAACTACACGGAAATGTCTCAAAATCTTGACTTTCACAAAGAGCAATATTAATTTCATTAGCACTACTAAAAGTACAACTATACAGGTTGTACAACATAAATACATCTGTAACTTCATTCACAGTTCGTTCTTCGTTTTAATATTATGGCATCTATTTCACCCTACTCATCAAGTGTTCAGTTAGAATGGCATGAATAAACCGACAATCCGCCAAATCTAAAGACCAAAAATATATTCTCCTACTGGACATTCTGAAGCAAACGCAAAAGCGCTTTGTGAATGTCTTCGGAATCCTGATGAAAAGAAAGATCAAATTCACCATAGTTTGTATTTTAACAGACGGAATGTTAGTTGAGAATAATATGTTCGTAAAGGATCGTTAGAAATCTTATGTTAAAGTTCGCATCTGTAATAGCAAGAATTATTAGTTTTTGAGTATGGTATTTGTTATCATCAAATTAATAAACCTAATACGATCGGTAAGCGATATAATTCATAACCAAAAGCTATCTAACTGACAGGGGGAATATGGGTGATCATGAGAAACATATGTCGAACTACTAGCTATCACTAAGTGGCCAGCCACTGCTGGTTAAGGAGAACTTAATATAGACTTGGTCTGTGAACTGGGTACTGTTGTAAATTGTGCAAACAACTGGTTAAACTGGAAATCATTTTACTATTTGTTTTTTGGTTTTTCGTGATGTTCTTGTGTTGATCTCTCTGAAGAACAGAAAATGGTGGTAAGCTGAAACAAAATATGACAATCTGTCCTTTTTACTGTTTGATATGAACAGATTATAAAACTATGGGTTCAAATATATTATTTCCACTCAGATAAAATATGAAAATGAACTTTTTAACAAATAAATTGCCAATTTAATCATCCAACATACGTGATTTTGTTTCATCAGAGTCGAAATTCGACTCCATAGGGAGTTCATCAGTGGAAAATCTAACCAAAGTAACATTTGAAGTATCTAAAAGCAAAGTTCAGCAGTTTGAGCAACTTTACCTGCTATATGTACATCAGCACTCTTCCAAGACTCGGGAGGAATACTACGTGCCCGACAGTGGTGAGGATTGGAAGTCCACTGTGCTACTATTTCCATAAGGCGTGAATTCGACTGTACCTGTTTTTGCTCTGAAACAGGGATGTGTTTCAAGCAAACTAATATCTAGAAAGAAATAGATTTGCAAACATACATGAGGTTTTGATTTTGTTAACGTATAAAATATATCGAAGCGCAAGCAAATAAAGTGATAATAAGCGAAATGCATGTGAAAGTAGCTCATATGCACATATTATAATGAACGAGAAAATAGGTGGGGACAACCGACTGTATTTAAATACAGAATCTCTTGGTAAAATATTAGAACCATACACTAAATACTTCACTTGAAAATTTTCATCATTTATCCTTCAAATTATGTATGATTCTTTCAGCCCACAATTCCTTTCTATTTTCCCTTCTATTCTCTTCAACACGGTCTTCTCAGCCTTCTGCTGCCAGGTTTTTCGCTTCCAACTGGTGTTACATACTGCTTATATTTGTCGACATAAGTAGCATACACCGAAATACAAGCAAATTTGTTATTTATATGAACTAAGTGAATTGAAAATTAACCACCACACTGGAAATTACCATGTGTAGGTATGAAACGGAAAAGTTTTAAGACACAAAGAGATACCTCAGTAGTTTAGCAAAACATTTCGCACAAAGAAAAACAATTTTTCCATATACCTGCTTTTTGAGTTCCCAATCTTTCGGCGCTGCATCACACATAAAGGCCGCCAACATATCGAGACCATTATACTGTCGAAAAAGTTTAAGACAAGCATCGTTTTCTGTTTTAATCAGACGGCTGAGAAGCTGCAGTCGAGTGTACCTTGTAAGGCATTCTTGAACCATAACTTGTAATAACAGAGTTATATCGTCTGCATTTCTGAACGAATCTAATTGAAGGAGTTGGAGAATGCGTCTTTCAACCTAGAGGTAAAATGAATTTAGCAAAGGAATATGTCAACTGTGATAGATCCACTACAATTAGTAAATGGGATTAAACGATTTCCAAATCCAAATCACGTCACGTAAGCAGTTGAAAATTAATTCTCAACTTTTTATTTGATATTCTTGTAAATAATGCAACTAATTTAACTAAATAAAAAATCCGTGTACTAGGCTATAAGCCATACTCTTTGTGAGGATAATTATTCAATTTGGGTGCACAAACCGGAGATAGAACGGGATTCGGACCAGTGAATTAGGGATTGGAAGTCGAATGCTATAAGAAACTAACTGATCTTTGTGGTAAATAATTTGGGAACTGAGCATGTTGTTTCCTGCAGCAACATTAAAGGAACCAAAAGTAATAGAATGGATGAGGTACTCAGGATAGTCTAATCCTATCCTACTTGTTTTTGTACAAGCTTTTGAAGATGTTAGCAAATATATCGAACAGAAACCTATTTAGCCAGTGACTTCACTGCATAGTTTAAGTCAACTAGTCGATAGTAGTGTGATGGAAGCAATTCACAAGACTACTCGTACATAGTGTGTAGTGGAACGTGGTGTCGAAGTTATCACAGTCGTCAGACGGAGAGAAGAGTTTCAGTGCACCAAAATCACGGTGTAGGCAGAACACTTGATGACCAGGAGAGAAGACAGTTCGGGTTGAAGAACACACCGCAAGATGCAGATGGATGACCAGAGGTTATGCATACATACAGTGTAATTTCTTACAATAAAAATCCCTTTTGTTCATTGCCTTGTTTTACAGTAGTACTAACAAGATTAAAGACATTTACTATTGACCAGCAACACATGTGAAAGTGTTCGGGGACTTATGGAAAGATAAACACGACCAATCCATACAAGATGTAAGCAAACCTCAGCTTGTTTTCCAACTTCTTACCAAAACTTCTTTTATGAGAAATTTGTCTTCAGTTACCAATATTTTGTTCCATATTTTGGAAGATAGATATTAAGACAGCATTGTTCTAGAATTCAATCGGCTCCTTGATCGTATATATATATATAACTGGCAGGTTGTTACGACCTATATTTCTTACGGCAAATTCAAACACGCAGACTCATGTTAACGGAGTGGGGAAGATCAGCCGGGTGCAGGTTTTCGTAACTCGATACTTGGTAAACTTGATCAGTGAAGATACATTATGTGGGATCTTTCATTAGATCTATCCAAGATATGATTCATAAAAGCACTAAATGATGACAAGAAATTAACTCAGCAATAACTCAGCCCAATGAAACATTCGATTTAGTTACCCACGTGAATGATACAACTGGTTTTGACGAAACATCGACAAGATAAAAATATAAATCGCTTGAGACGCTAAATTACTTACTGAACTTATGATGAAGATAATAGTATAGAATCATGCACGACACACGCAAGTGCTGCAACAAAACATAGAGTTATTTGTGTCATATTACCCCCTTGAGTAGCACTGGAAAATTGTCCGTTAGTTTTTTGTGTATTTTTGTTAGTCCGAAGGAGTAGTATCTAACTTACAAATCCTAACCTGAAGCTACGGTTGCAAGATTATCATATAACTACTTAATCGCTCAAAACCTAAGTCACTGGTAACTGTGGTTCGAATTATGACACATTGAGTGGCAGTAAGAATATTTTGCTAAGCCGTAAACGTGTACTTATGTCATGATAATTGATACTTGAAAAAAGGACGCCTAAGAACAGGTAGTATAAGGTCGAAAATGAGAAAAACTTAAGTCATCGTATTGATATTTTACTGCAAAATGTCTAGCTTTTAATTTTGCTCAGAAGTCAGTAACAAAACGATGAGTATTTTATCCCAAACTGACTATGCATTTTTGACTGTTTCAAACTGGATTTGTTTCGCCATTTAGGACAAATTTAACTGCTGTCAGTTACGAAGTGTTGGCGATAAAAGTAGATAAAAAGAAATCACAAAAAGATACATTGCACGCACTAACAATCCATGACATACCATTGTAGTATCTTTCATGCGAACTTTTTCTTGCAAATATTTGCTGGTCGCCCCCATTACACCAGAGCAGGTAGACGCACCACAATAACACTTTTGTTCAGAAACCCTGAATTTTACAAAACAATAAACAAAAATATAGAACGAATAAGTTTAAAAGTCAATATAGTGGTGAAAGAACAGATTTTGTTAAATGCGTCTTATTGGATGTTAATAAATTTACCTCATCCAATCATTTAAACTTGCCCCAAGAAGAATGGATACGATTGTTCGCTTAGATTTTTTTAATGTGAAGTGAGTTCAACCTGAATAAACATTGGTTTGAGTCAAAAAGGAACAAAATAAGTAGTTTATAGTTAGTCGAATGGTGCCAGTTAATTTTACGAAACGGAAAAGTTGGAATTAAAAATCGGATTATGTATAATACCTAATATGACGTATCTGTATATTTGTTTCAATTTGGGCAAAATTGGTCTCGAAGCTCGTGAGTATGCATTTATGAATATAGGATAATAATATAGCATCACCTTCTGACCTTAAACGAACATAATTTTACCAGGTTGCACACTGAAATCGGGATTTCGAGAATCACTCGTTATTTTGTTGTCTACGAGCTCTTACGGTAAGTATACTTTAATACAGCTTATTTACTGAGTATAGGTTTACGCATTAAAATCTGAGCCATGATATAAATATATAGCACCACCTCCCAGACTGAAGTAGGATAGAGTTCTTTTTAAAAATCTGAACTTCAATAAAGACATTTCGGTACCTGGGATATATTTGGGTGAAACCATAGAAACATTTTATGTAAAATTTCCTAAAAGCTGTGTGTAAGAATAAGTCTTAATTTTCGACCTAGTCACAAAGTAACTATAAAGCAAACATAGTTTAGTATGATTATATAGTCACAGCTGATCCAAGCATGTAGGTTTAAATAAAAGCCTTTAAACCTCAATATTTCATGTACTTATTTTCAATTGCCGAGTGGCAGATTCCAACATTTTGCATACCGTCAAGAAATTCATGTAGTATTACTAACAGCGGGTTGATTTATAGACCTAAATTTAGCTGAATTGAGATACACTAATTGGGATTTTGTTCGGTTATTTGAATACATGACATCACTGGGATAAAACAAACTATGAACAGAGATTGTAGTGTGGCGTCGAGTCGCGGTTGACTATGATCACCACTACAGGAAGACTACGTGCCAGTTAACCGACAAGATCCCCCGTAAGTCAAATATCAGAAGGCAGTTGATGGCTGTAGTCGAGATGTATTTGCTGGCGATCTCGTGGTATCGAAAGAATACTGAGATCGTGCCAGGTTACAAGTGTGGTTACTGAGCGTAACCGAATTTGTGCAATGTCACAATCAACGGAAGGAAGAGTCTTTAGTACAGTTAAACAAACAAGTACAGTAAAACAATCACTGGTACAATTGGTTATAATAATTGTTTCCATTAAACCAATCGCGTTCTCTTGATAAAGTAGGTCACTACAAGATCATGAATGTCTAGAGAGAATCCGGGCTAAGAACCTTCAGTGACTGTGTTTGATCATCGTTATCTCCGAATAAACTGTCAGCATTTAGAGGTAACACCATGTTAGTAATGCAGAGGTTTGGATATCTGTGTTCGGGGGTGGTGACGACAGCCCGATTAGTTTCGTCATGTTGAAATACTGGCTCCAGTGGTTTGAATATGTACTTCAAATGTCTTCCAAGCGACTTCCACATCGTGCTTTGTTTCCTGACACTGGGTTCGGTTAGCGAGAGCGGAGGAATGATCAGTTTATGACACGCTGCTGAGGTATGAAAAAACATTGTATAAGACTGTAATCCATTGGTGCAAATTAATGTTAGACATAGCTCAGTCCTGTTGTAATTTTGTTTCACTTCTGGAAAACAAGAAGGACTTCTGTAACTAAAAGTAGTATTTCGGAATATTTTTTCACATGTACTGTTTTTCCTGTTCACTCACTTATTCACTTAATTGTTTTTTTTATCATATTAACCTTTCATTGTCTATCTTTACACGACTTCATTCACTTATTTGTGTGGCAAAGATTTATTTCAGTGCCCGTTTGTATCAATATTTGTATTTAAATAAACAAACAAAACCTAATTCAATTTATTGAATTCCGACTTTCTATTGAAAATGTCTATACGTTCCTCCTTAATTCGAAAAAGTTATAGGCAGAACAACCAGGACTTTTCATCAAGTTAGTCAAGTTACTGGATTTTGGATTTAGACATTTAGAACACTAGAATCATTTTAGGACACGTTAGACGACAAACCAACCAATATCGTTCAGAAAACACTCAACTATAATCAGCAGTTACCTGAGTAAGCATCTTCTATCACAAAAAAAATAACATCGAAAACTAACCACTGACACGTGAAACGTTATTGCTTCAAGGAACACACCAATATCACCAGTAGTCAATACCACTATTTGTGTGGATAGAATCCAAAGTCCTATCTATCAGCTGAAGTTTATCATTTTTTAATGATAAAATACGAATTAGATTCATTTAGATACTCATTACAATCATTTAGACTGTTTCCAAGCACAATCATTTTGACACGTGATTGCAAGCTAGACACCTGCTAAATAAACATAACTGAAGAATATTAAACACATATTACGAATCTCAAGGTTTATAGATAGTCAGCGCTGTTAAAATTGCTATTAACAAAACTGGTTTTCACAGATTGAAATCATGAGTCAGTTGAAGCTAGACCACCATTGAAAACCTAGCTTCAACTGACTCATGATTTCAACCTGTGAAATTTACTAAAATCTCCACAAAACTCATTCTAAAACTGGTTTTGCTTTAACATCTACACAAAGTTGTTACATTTAATCAAACTTCAGATAAATAGTTCCAGTTTTAATTCTAATAATTCTTCTGTCACTAAGGTCTGTTTAGATAATTTCGAATTTCAGTTCGGTGGATGTGATAAAAATTAGATTTTTGAAAAATTTAAATGACCCAAGAGAATTGTAAATAAACGCGGACTTCATTTTAGACATACGAACAGACAGTCAACTTGTGATATTTGTGGTGAAAAATCAGTGCCCTTGCCCTTCAACTAAATATTTTATATTTTGCTTAAACCTATCATAATACAATACAATCCCGTGTTGCAAACTTTGAATTTGGATCCTTGATTTTCTTGTTGAAGTTCTATATTATTACTACTTCGTTAAATTATTTTCAGGTCACAAAAAATTGGCAATAATTTTTTCTCATTTAAATCACCATATTGATACCAACATAGTAATAATAATATTATTGTCGAGTGCTCATATAGTTTGTTTGACACAGGGAACTGAAAGCTAACTTCTGAAGTATACAGTATTCTATGACATAAAGTATTGCTAAAAATTAATTGCTTCACTTATTTTTACTTCGAAAGATTATTCAATTCCGTGTCAATTTTGAGTAAAAGTAAGTGTTAATTTTGGGAGAAATACTTATTATTTACCCCAGACTTGGGAAAAGGATGACATTTTGACACATTTTTGCCTATATTCACTCCGACTTCTCCCAAAACATTTCCCCAGAGTTTGCCTTTGTTTCCTCTGCTTCTGATTCTTAGATTGAAGCTAATAACTTAATATCTCAATACGTCTGTAATTAGTTTACTTATATCGACAACAAAAGTTGTCTTCAGTTTAGCCGTCGTGTACAGTATGTTGTCCGTATCTGATATGAAAGATAAAAGATAAGACTTAACTGTATGTTCGCAAGATATATGCACTTGAAAATAAGACAGTTCCTATGGTTAAAAGTGTAATGACTGAGGTTTTAATGAAAGTATATAGTAATTCTGTTTGGTCATGGATTATGTTCCGGCAGATTATATTTTATTTGGTGCCTGGTAATCTGTGATATCAGTGAGTTAAATATCAATGGGGTTTTTACTGAAACACTCTGCTCTATACTCACTTTATTGTTTATTTTCTCAGATGACATGACGTATTTTGTAAGGTGGCTCAACAGGAACATATAATATAGATATATCTGATAATTTACTTGGATAAATATTTTTTTCAGGAATGGCTTCCTAATTCTGATTTTAGTTCTTTTGACGAAGTTCAGTATCGTAGGAAAACCTCTTTACAGATAACCATCTACGTGCACGGAGCTGAACGAATCAACGTTACCCACATGTTATTTGTTGATTGATGTCTACATCCAATAGAGATACTATTCAGTTTTACCTAGGCACTCATATATGTCACACATTTTCTAAATTCAGCTATGCTAACTATAAATCGAATGTACTAGCTTGTATCATTTATGTTAACGACGTTATTACGAAATTAATTAATGAGCTTTATTATAAAAAGTATGTGGGTCTTTGGATCATTGTGGAGTGAATTTCTTTTATGTTACTTAGATATAATAACTCGACTACGTTATGATGATAGTATTGGTTAAATGGTAGATAACGTGGAAAATGGTCTCCTCGTCAGTAACTGACTGACTGACTGACTGTCAGTAAAGGTCTCGACAAAAAATCTTTAAGATTTTACACTACGGCTAGATACATTAGCCTTTTAATGAATTATATATCAAAAATCGGCCGATAACTGTTTGATGTCGAAATACGCAAAACTAAAGCAGTTTAACTGTACGCATCTCAGTCTATCTAAGCCACTTTACATCCACGTTATATTTACATTTCTAAGTCAGATAATTGCGATATAACAATCAGGTATGGAATGAATATATGTAATGATGTGAAGTAATGCAGAGAAATACCACGTAATGAAGCAGCATCGATTTTAAACGGAATGAGACTACTGTAACAAGGAAATAAGAAAAATCTAAGGAACAAAGTCAGTTAATGAGAGAAGCCGTAGCACTAGATGGCAAATATTGTTCACATATTAAACATTTCTCAAGTCACACACTACGTCCATTTATTAAAAGCACTCTAAACGTACGAACCACACTGCATGGCAGCCCAAACTATGACTGCACTTATTGTGTTCAACACTTAAGTAAACGTAATATTTGGATATCTAAACATAATCGAGTGTTCCGTTGATCTGACTCCGGTTTGATCGTATAATGATGTTAATGAAACATAAACGCCACCAAACCTCATATATAATTATCGGCCAAACTCACGTTAATGAATAGCGGAATAAAATAAGCTACATATGAGAATGAATTTTGGTTACGTACATTTCATAAATTCATTGATC